CAGTTCTCTCTCCCACCTCCACCACATTGGTTCTCTGACCTCTATTACTTTGGACAAGTGCCTGGTTCCTTTCACAGCAAGGATTGCTTCTCACACCCTCACCCGTCTCATTTATCAGTTTCCTTTCCTTTCCTTTTTTAAAAAAAACACATATTTTTATTGATTTCAGAGAGATAGGGAGAGAAATAGAAACATCCATGATGAGAATGATGGATCAGCTGCCTCCTGCACGCCCCCTACTGGATGGGGATTGAGCCTGCAACCCGGGCATGTGCCCTGACCGGGAATCAAACCCTGACCTCCTGGTTCATAGGTCGACGCTCAACCACTGAGCCACACCGGCTGAGCTATCAGTTTCATTTCTTTGGCTAATCTGCTCCTGTCTCCATTACAGTCCTGCAGCCTAAGTAGCCCCCGTCTCTGCTCCCCCAGTCGTGTCGGAGAAGGAGACGCAGAGCTAGGATACAGCTGGTTGCACACGCCCCAAAGGCCAACCGAATTGCTTCTGGCTAATTGGTTTTCTGGCCCCAGTAAGCACGGGGTTTCTACTGCTCCCTGACACGGCCTGTCCTCACTTCGCTGGTGATTCTGATTAGTATTCGAAAGCGGCATTCTCTCATGGCCCGAGTGGGAAACCGGGCTGTCGATTTATTTATACCCAGCCTCAGGCAGACGTTGGGGGCGTGTGGGACGCTACAAGATGCAGACACTGCTCCGTGTGTGTGTGTGTGTCTGTGTGTATACACATATCGATTAGGGGTGATGTTGGGAGTGGAAATCCATTAGCCCATGGGCTGGGAAAGGGACTAAGAGGAGGATATAAAAATGCCAGAGAAAGACTTGGTGTCATTGCTAAATGCAGGTGACTTTTTCAGATCCTGTAGGGAATAGTGTCTTGCAGAAATGAATGCTCTGTCCCGGCCCCGTCCGCGTGGCTCAGTGGTTGAGCGTCGACCTGTGAACCAGGAGGCCATGGTTCGATTCCCGGTCAAGGGGCTCAGCGGGCTCGATCCCCAGTAGGGGGCGTGCGGGTTGCAGCCAATCGATGATTGTCTCTCGTCATTGGTCCATAGGTAGATGCTCAACCACTGATTGAGCCTTGCTGGCAGACTCTATTTTTCTTTTGAGGTTAGCATCCGACACCTTAAGGTCCAGTAAAGACATAGCAACAAGAAATCTGTTCCTTTGGTATCGTCCCTGGAAACATTCTCAGAATCCTTACAAAGCGCTGGTGTGAGCAGTCATTACAGAAGAGAGTGAGACATAAGAGGACCTGTCTATGGGAAAGTCCCAAGAATAACAATTATACACCCCTCCTCCCCCCACCCTGCGCTCCTCCTCCTGACCTTTGGTTAGGTCTAACCCAGGAGGCCCTCAACATTGCAACATAGGAGTTAGAACAGCCGTGGGGAAACTACGGCCCGTGGGCCGGATCCTGCCCGTTTGACATGAATAAAACTAAAAAAAAAAAAGACCGTACCCTTTTATGTAATGATGTTTACTTTGAATTTATATTAGTTCACACAAACACTCCATCCATGCTTTTGTTCCGGCCCTCCGGTCCAGTTTAAGAACCCATTGTGGCCCTTGAGTCAAAAAGTTTGCCCACCCCTGAGTTAGAACAAGCATGTCAAACTCGCGGCCCGCGGGCCACATGCGGCCCACGATGAATATGTTTGCGGCCCAGCCAATATAATCGTATGTAAGAAACGTTTTAATAAAAATTCCATGACTTAATTTTGACAATATTCATTGGCAGCGCTAAGGATGTCGGACTGCAGCTTAGGTCTGCTCCCTGAAGCTACAGTGGACATCCCCCAAGGGCTCCCAGGCAGTCAGAGGGATGTCTGACTGCCAGCTTAGGCTGGTTCCCTGGGGAGCGGGCCTAAGTTGGCAGGTGGACATCCTCCAAGGGGTCCCAGACTGCAAGAGGGCACAGGCCCAGCTGAGGGACCCACCCGAGTACACAGATTTTTGTGCACCGGGCCTCTAGTTATTAATAATGAACTACAGCGTTTGCTAATGACTGATTACTATCACCATGTTGCATCCATTTCCCTTACGCACCTTACACACAAGCGCACCATTTCTCTCCACTAATACCAGCAGCAAATATTTTAGCAGCCAATGGCCATGTCATTCGTCTTGGACTGACTTGTTTGCTGTGCGCCACAGGAAATATTTCGCTCTCGGAGAACAAGAAACAGATTTAATTGCGTGACACTTATTTATCTGTGTAGTTACTCAGTGTCTGGTATGTTCATGTCTGAGAAAAAATATTTTTATTAAAATGTTTTATTGTTTTATGTTAACTTAGACTCATTTACCTCAGCCGTTGTATTCAGCATGTCTCTATCGACATAAACCTACGTTCCTGTGAAAATGGAAGCTTCTGTTTTCTTGCGGCTCACATACACCTAAACCTTGTTTATTAGGCCCGTGTTGGCCTTTGAGTTTGACACGCTGGAGTCAGAAGAAGGAACCACTGCACACTTCCCTCTCAAAGCCCCAGCCTCATGTGAGCGGCAGGTTCACTACCAACCCTGGGCTAAGGGAAGCCTTGCCTTTGCATGGAGATGAAAGTGTCTATTTGCATATCACAGGCTCCTTCTAGTCCGAACTTCTATCGCTGAAGAGCTGGGGTCCTGAGGTCTGCCTGCAGGCTCATCCAGAGGAAGAGGAGAACTCTGTTCAATGACTAGATCTGGGGGAATTGGGTGGGGGGGATGTAGCCCCAGCGTCACGCAGGGTCGGCGACGGGTTCTGTGCAAATGGGGCATATAGTGGTTGGCTGTTTGGACCACACAGGAAGCAGATGTGTGTGTGGGGGGGTGAAGGGCAGAAGGAAGGCACGATTTTAAATGAATTCCCTGCCTCATTTATTTCCAATCTCTTAAGACTAATTTCTGGAATTTGAATGAACTCCAAGTACTTAAACATTTTTATTTTTATTTTTATTAAAAAATAGATATTTTTGCCCCAGCCAGTTTGGCTTAGTGGATAGAGCGTCAGCCTGCAGACTAAAGGGTCCCGGGTTCGATTCCAATCAAGGGCATGTACCTCACTTGCAGGCTCCTCCTCGACCCGGGCCCCTGATCGGGGTGCATCGATGTTTCTCTCTGTTTTTCCCTCTCTCTTCCATTCTCTATAAAAATCAATGGAAACATATCGTCAGGTGAGGATTAAAAATATATATTTATTTTTATAGATTTCAGAGAGGAAGGGAGAGAGAGAGAGAGAGAGAAGAGAGAGAGAGAGAAAGAAACATCAATGGTGAAAGAGAATCATTAATTGACTGCCTCCTGCACGCCCCCACTTGGGATCTAGCCCACAACCTGGGCATGTACCCTGACTGGGAATTGAACCATGACCTCCTTGTTCATAGGTCGGTGCTCAACCACTGAGCCATGCTGGCTGGGTCATATATTTTTTTTTACTGATAATATTACTGGATATGGTTGCCATGGGGTCTTTTAAAGTGGAATTCGTTTGCCAGGTCTGAAATTGCCCAGTGGCATTTTGATTTCCTGTGCTTTGATAGACTAACATAAGGAGAATAGATATTACATGGGGCTGGGCTTGGCTTTCTCAGAATTCAGCCCATTTCTTCATTTATTTAAATTTCCCTTGTTATCCGTTGGTAAACTCCAGGGGTTCATCATACAGCCTTTGGGGTATTTACTATTAAATTCCATTTCCAGATCCTGCATAGCTGTGCTGCTCCTGCGAATGGAATTTTTATTATCCTTAATAATTTACTTTGCAGGTTTATAGAAAGAAAATTGATTTTGGGGATATTTAATTTGTAACTTGTCTACTTACCCAGTTCTTGCCTTATATCTAATAGAGTTTCTGTTTCGCCTCATTTCTTTGGTTTTAGTCCATAATCAGCCCTCAAATAATGATCATGTGATTTATTTTCCTAATATTTATGACTCATTTTTTTCTTATTGAATTGTTTGAAACTTGTCAAGTCATGACAAATGACAGCAGTGAGAGCAGGCCATAGCTTTGGCCACGGTTTTAAGGAGGACTGTGTGTATCAAGTATTATTTTGGCTGTTGCTTTTATATAAGTATTTGCTATTATTGGTGATAATAATGACCACGTGGATGCTGTGATAAAGACTTGGATAATGTGCTGTGGGCCAAGGTATAATCTGAATTTATTATATATTGTAAACTCCCCGAATGACCTCAGCAGTTCCATGAGATAGGGAGTATTATTATGATTTTCATTATTATTCCCATTATACAGATGGGAACATGGAGGTGCTGATAGGTCATATAACTTCCCCTCCAGGGCAGCTCTGGGATTGAAGGATCCTCCCTCATTTTTCTCCCCTGGTCGATAACTGTATGGAAGAATAAAAAAGGGTATTTCTTAGGAAGACTGTTCACAAACTTTGGTTTCAGCAGTGAATCTTTTTCTGTTTTTAAATCCTCACCCAAGGAGATTTTTCCATTGATTTTTAGAGAGAGAGGAAGGGAGGAAGAATAAATGAGAGTAAGAGTGAGGGCGAGAGAGAGAGGGGTGACAGATATGAGAGAGATACATTGATTGGTTGCCTCCCACATGTGCCCTAACCTGGGGACAGGGGATTGAACCTGCAACCTGGGCATGTGCCCTGACTAGGAATCAAACCATGGCCTCCTGGTTCATAGGTTGATGCTCTAACCACTTAGCAATGCCAGCAGGGCAGTGAACTGTTCTTAAACTCTCCTGCCTTGACCTCGGTGCGGGGAGATGACTTTTGCGTCCTTACCCACCCTTCTGCCTTTGGGGTACTTTTATGCAACCCCAGGTGTCCAGGCAACGCAGCTCGAGATCCATCCGTCCGTCCACAAAGCTCAGGACAAAACCCACGGAACTGTGCCCGAGAAATACCGTTCACTCCAATCCCCGTGGCAGGCGGGCGGAGAGGCGTCCAGGAGACCTCCCTCCCCGTCTCCGAGGGTCCTCGCTCAGCCTGCTCACTGTTGGCCTCTCTCTCCCTGCAGGGCCTGCAGTTTGGGACCCGGGAGCTGGAGGAGATGGGAGCCATGTTCTGCTTGGGCCTCCTCC